AGGCATGCTCGCGTACCCGGGGGACGTAGTGAACACTACTTTTGTCTTGGAGCCAAATCGTGAGACAACGTTCTCTTGTACCTCGTTCATCGCTGCAACCAACGTCTGGATAGCTTCCCAGATTCTCTTCGGCGCTGGTTCGTCACCCTTGAGCTGCTCAAGAAACCCTGTTGCATGCAAGTGATCATTCATTCCCGCAAACAGTAGTAGTTCGGGCTCACAAGGCATCTCCGATTTTATTGCTACTACCAAGGTTAACATCTGGTTTAGCTCCGCTCCCGGTAGTGAGTATATCAGAGTTTCCGGCCAAAACAACTTGGGAGACATTCCCTCAAAATCCGATCCCGCTATGATGACCACCCTCGCAGCGGCTGGATCTGCCCTGTCAAACACTGCCAAGGTCTTGGCCAACTGGGTCTTCCCGCAGGGTTTTGCGTATCTAGGGTCGTCTGCCAATCTCGTACCCTCATAAGCGGCGTCCGGCAGTTCCATCTCCCTTGGGTCCAACAGTTTGTCCACCACCCTCAACTGTGCTGGAGTTGCCAACCTAATTCTGGCAATGCTTGTTCGATGCTTGGGAGGCTCCACCACGAGTCCCGGACTCCCCAGCAACTTGAGAGGCCTATAATTGATGGGTCCCATGACCGATTTCGTGGGAATCCCTGTCAGATCCGCCGTCTCCATTATTTTCGCTTTTGAGAAATGCGTCTCGTGAGCCTTCAACCAGTCCACGCACTGGTGTCTACCCAAGTCTTCATGTGACACCCGCTCAAGACCCAAAGCTTCCGCCAACTCTTGCCTGCACTCCAGATCTTCCAAGTCCAGTTCTTTCACCTTCTCCACATATCTCAACCTACTGGTCTCCGCTGGCCTCTCCAGTTTTTTGCTCTCCACCACCACCACCGAGGATATTACCGAACCCTGAGGAGTTGATGACATTACCTCCTCGGCCTCCATTGGTGCTGCGCCTGGCAGCCTGGTCCGGCTGCTTCTCCAGCTGTCTCTAGAACCGGCCATCGCTCCCAGGCGACTGGATAAGGCTCTCGGGTTGAAGAAAGCTGGATTTGGGGGTGGCCCGAACGTGACTTGGGCCGTCTCTAGCAACTCTGCCTCCAACGCGCTTATGTGTCTTTGGAAGATATCATTTAACCATTCTACTCCCCTGGCCCTGTCAAAGTGAATCCCGTCTGAGGATGCATCGTCGGGGAAAACAGATCGCTCCATCTGCTCGGCTACGTCCAGTAGTCCAACGGGGAGGACGCTCCTTTGGTGTATCTGCCTGATTATTTCATTCAGGTTTCGCCCCTTCGTATTCATCTCCATCGCATGTTGGTCCGCCTTCATGTTATAAGGAATGGTGCACACCTTCAGATTGGCAGGATCCATTTGAATCCGCAATTCCTCAAGGATGCAGCTCATCTTGTCATGTAGCCTCGTCACCTTCCTGGCCTCCCCCCTAGACACGTCATTCGTCCCAACCATCAAGGTTACCGTGTATACTCTTGCCATACCTAGCATCTTAAGTGTTGCCAACATCTGTGGCGTCGCAGCTCCAGCAAAACTCAAGATCCCCGTTTGCCAATGTGATTGAATCCGGGTTAGCACCCGCAACAAGCTGTCCCCTATGATCAGGTGGATCGCCCCCTCTGGCACACGTGGCTGCGTGAGGTATTCCACCCAAGCCGCGTCATGGAAGTAATCCCTCCTGACTCTCTGTGCCGTGCTCCAATCCATACGATTGTGCCGGTGGTATCTGCCTTCTGTGTTCTTCTTGTAACTTGAGATCACCACACTCCTGATAGGTTGCTCCCTCCAGGTCGGGGGTAGCTCCACTCTTGCTGGACTCTCACGACTCCTTAGCTGTAGCCTCTCGTTCAATTCTTTCAATCGTGACGAGCTACCGCTCACCTGACTACTACTCGGGGTTGAACTTGGGGTATACCCAGGCAGCGCGACGTCCATCAATGGGCGTATTGTTTGTGTCTCTAGGCCACGCAAGTAGGACGTTGATTCATTTGGTATCCACAACTCCAACCCCTCATTCATATGCTCTTGAGCCGCGCGGTCAAGGTTAAATCGTCCCTTCGATCTGGGAGCTTCGTCCACCTCCATACGCGACTCTGGCCTCGAGCCGGTAACCACTCGCTCCTTGGGCCTAGTCCCTTTCTGCATATCGAGCTCGCGTTGTCGTTGCTGGATTCTCTCAAGCTCCGACTTCAGCTGATCACAATTCGCGGCATTCTCTCGCACTCTTTTTTCTTGTATATGCTCAGCTTTCAGCATATCCAGTTCCCTCCGCGCTTGGTCCTTTTCGTCGACCGCTTGATCCCTCTCCAGTTTTGCCTGATCCCTCTCAAGTTTCGCTTGATCCCGGTCGAGGTTCGCCTCGTTCCTCTCCCGCTGAGTCCTCTCAAGACCTCTCTTCATAGCACTGAGGTCCGGATACGCTTCCCCCGTTTGTTGCGCTCGCGACATTGATGGCATCTTACTCGTGCTCTGGCCTGTAGATCTGACTGATGGTGTCATCGGTAATAGGAACTCCCCGGCGCCATACTCGGTGTTGTTGCTCAAGCCAGGGTTCCTTGCCAAGTCAAATCCCCTTATTCCTCCATCCACATTCCAGGTCAGCCATCTGGTTTGCTCTTGGTTGGATATTCCATCAGTGGTGTAGCCGACCATTATAACCGCTTCTGTTGCGGACTCCCGGCATTCGCCCTGTTCTTCCAATCGGAGGATGGCGTTCAGCATCACCGCCATTCTCTCATCCACTTGAGTGTAATCCAGGTCCCTCAGGCGTCTGTACAACTCATCAAGTGTGGGCCTTTTCAGAGCCGATGGCATGGATTTCCAGAATCGATCTGCCATTTTTGTAACTTCTAGATGATCTTGAGTATTAGCAACTTGTAACCTACCTTAGTTACTTGAGTATTACCTTAGCAACTTGAGTATTACCTTAGCAACTTGAGTATTACCTTAGCAAATTGAGTATTAACTTCTTGAAGCGTTGTTCAACTTGCGTGTTCGTTCAAGGACTTCCTTTCTTTTAATTGAATGTAGTTGGGTAGTCAATTTGACTTTAGCATATCAATCTGAAAATAGCACCCGATTTTTAGACTAACAGGCCATGTTCTTAAGCTAAAAACCCCCCATGCCACTATAGTTAAAACCCTTTCCTTTTCGTCCTACTAGAATAGTTCAATTGGAAATTTTCTAAAAGCATGCAGATTCATTTTATGTTTTAGCACCATCAATCATTTAAAATTTAATTGTCATGCCAATCACCTTTAAGATCCTTTTACCTGTTTTGTACCCCAACACCTAACTCGAAATCCCTTCATACCCAAGTCGAGACCCCCATGTACCCGACTCAGGCGATGCTCAAGTAGTATTTCTCGTGCAGATGTACCATTATCTCCGTTTTCGCGAAGACCACGTGTAGGATAGCGTATAATTCCCTTGGGCTCAGCCTGCCCCTGTTTGGGTCATAGACCGGCATTGAGACCTTCGTTATCCCTCTTTCAATCATGAAGTCCCGTAGTCTTGTTAGTGCCATCATCACGTGTTCAGGATCGATCATGTTCCTGTCGTTGACCCTCGTCACTAGGAAGCACAGGTATTTGCCCGGGACTTGTGCTACTGATGGTGGAAGTGCAGCCATTCCTCCCAGCCCCGGTCTCTGTCTAAATAGAAACTCCACGTTCTGATACTCTCTCTTGAAGTCGGCCTCCAGTCTTGATTTGAAACTCATGTCCGCCGTGATACAGATTGCGCTAGTCCTGTCCGACAGAATGAAGTCGCTATCCGTTATCAGGATGTTCTCCGAGTAATCGGTCGGTATTTCAAACTTCGTTTTGAAATTCCGTCCTATGGTAGGCTCGGCCTCCTCCCCATCCAGTTCCAGTCCGCTCGTTTCTCTCACTTCCCTGAGTTTCTTTATCATTAAGTTTTCGGTGTGGGTAAGTCCTACCCCCACTCCCCGGACAAAAATACTTATCGACGTCCCCGTCGATGATGCTGGGTCTGAATTGTCTGGCGGAATGTCAAGCGGCCTGTCTGTTGCCGTCCAGCCGAAAAGAGGACTCTCCGTTTTCATGTGCTTTCCCGCTGATATGTCGACTTGTTGTATGCTTTGTCCTTCGTCGCTTCCGTTCTTGACATCGCGCATCCATTCTAATATCCTCAGGTTCGTATTCTCCCTCCTCTCTATCTCGCTCTGTTCCAAATCCGTCTCCCGCTCCGGTGTCGAGTAGTCTTCCTGTGGGTAGTGTTCATTATTATTGATGATTTGCCATTCATCATCTGCTGCCAGTTCGCCCACACCTAGTAGTTCTTTGCCTAGGTCGTCGGGCTGTATCTTATCACTCAGGAAATCGTCCCCGTACCTGTTGTACCTCATGCCTGTTCGTTTGCGATTGCCACTCCTTGTCCCCGCTGGTATTGATAAGTCAGGTTCTGTCCACTTCGGCACCTCACCTTGCTCCGGATCATTCCAGTCTTCTTCCACAAAAGATTCCGCTTCAGAGTCCGCTTCTATTTTTTCATTGTCATCCAAACTCAAATTCTCATTGCCATCATTCTTCTCTCTGATGCCTTTTTCGTTCACTTCACATGCTGGCTCCGCCAGTAGGTACTCGAGTCCCTCCATGTCCTTTGGTATACACCAGTCCTCTGGGGATGGGACATGAGCCTTCAGATTTTCATAATGTGCTGCTCGTCCAGTACTCAAACGGTAGAACCGTCCTTGTTGATGTACTTCCGTTATCATGAATGGCCCTCTCCATTTCTTGAGTAGTTTCTTCATCCCTTTGGGCGGTATAACTTTCTAGAAAACCCACACGTACCGGCCCACATCATATGGCTTCGCCTGTAATATCTTTTCATCATATTTCTTGCGCTGTCTCATTTGTGCTTGCGCAGTGTTCCTCCTGCATAGCTCGTTTATTTCCTGCTGTCTCCTTATCGCTTCTTTCACGTAAGCTTGAGGCGACGTCCTCTTCCCTTCATATTCCGGGTAAAAGAATGTCAGGGGCATTGCTCTCTCTCTGCCTGTCAACATCATGAAATGACTGATTCCCGTTGTTGAGTGCTGAGTACTGTTGTATGCCTCTACGACTTGCGGCAGATATTTATCCCATCTGTCATGTACCTTGAGCAGTATACCCTCAGCATATTCACCAACGTTCTATTCTGTCTCTCTACCAGCCCGTTGGTCTGAGGATGGTAAGTCGTTGAGTGTGCTTGAGCAATGTGTGACCTCTTCATTAATTCTTTATTCAAGTCCCCCACAAAGGCCTTGCCGTTGTCTGACTGAAAAGTCATTGGACAACCATACCTCAATATCCAATGGGTTATCAAGTGGTCAGAAGTCTCCTCTGCCGAGGCTGTTTGACACGGCTCCGCTTCTGCCAGCTTTGTAAAGTGGTCAATTATAACTAGTATCTGGTTATACCCCGACTCCGTCATGCAAATCTTTTGATGGTCTATCTGCACCACTTCATTAAATTCCGAGCTTTCCACCGACTTGAGTGGGAATTTCATCTTCCTTGGATCTTTCACTTGCAAGCATGCCAGGCATGCATTCACCCACCTCTCGCAAGCTTTCCTCAGTCCTGGCCAATCGAACCTGTGAGGTATTCTTTGTTGCACCTCGTCTATCCCCTGGTGCCCCATCTGATCGTGCGATCGGAACAGCACCTCTGCATGATACAATTGTGGTAATATGATGAGGTTGTGCTTGTGTAATATCTTCTCATCGTCTTTTCTCTTGCATGCTACCACCCCGTCAGCTGTGTGATAGAGTAAGTCTTTCCTTTCTTTGTGGAACTGGCTCAGGATCTTGTAACTGTCTTCTTCTAGTTCCCCTTTCTCCTTGGACCCCGTTCGGATCCATTTGGAGAGGTTACTTGTCATCTTGTCATTCTTTTGGGCTCTTATCAGTGCCGACAGCCTATATCTCGCCCTGACATGTTCCTCTAGTGCCATGATCTGTCCATTCATTTCCCCAGGGTTGTGGATGTCGTCATTCAGGTTTACGCATATTATCCTCTTTACGATCTTCATATCATCTTCTGGCACCAGATTTGTTCTGACATTTGAGTTGCATGATAGTTCCCTGAATGGTTTCCTCGAAACTGCATTTTTTTCAAGTTCTTCACCTCCTCGTACTTCCTGTGCGTCCAAGTTGTACGTTCCTGAGGATGGGTCTGTTTGTAATTCCCTGTCGCGGTGTCTAATCTTCTCTTCTGCCAATATCATGCAGAGACTATCCTGATTATCGCTGCTCTCGTCCGAGTCCTCATCCCATGTTTCACACTCCCCGGACAAATTTTCTCCTTCAGTATCTTCTTCCTCCATGGACGTGGACCACTCCCCGGACTCTTGACCTAGTCCCAGGTATTCAGCCTCTTCCTTGAACGCTACTTTCTTCTTCCTAACCCGAGTCTGTTCAAGTATGTCGTCCGGGATTTTTTCAACCAGTGACTGCACGACTTCCTTCCCATCAGGGTTAGTCACCTTCGTGATGTCTTCATCACTAACTATCCCGCTCTTTCGCAGTATTGTGACCTCTGGTTCCTCCTTATCCTTTTCTTGGATCTCGGGCTTGTCATCTGCTAGTTTCTCGAGCAACCTCATTAAGTCATCGTCTATTTGTGCCTCTCCCGTCTCTACCTGGTTAAGATCATAGCCTTTTGCCTTGAGCGTCTCCCTCACAAACTTTGACTTCCCTCGGTTCTTTTTCAAGATTGTTTTCTCCAGAGGTTCTTTTGGTAATTCGAGGTGATCTTCTATTGGTTTGCCTGATTTGTCCAACCACTTCGTGATTGGAAGACTGTCGTACGTTTCCTTGTCCATGAAGGAGAAGCCATCCTTGATCTCAGGTCTATATGCCTCCCTCTGTTCTTGTCTCTAGTAGAACTCAGTCTTCTTACTCAAGCTGTCAGCGTTTTGATGTTTGTCTCGTGTTCTATGCTCAATTATCATGTTGTATCCATCCAGGCGAACTATCCACCTCCCAATGTAACTTTGGTCCATTGAGTACGTTTTCAGCCAGCTTAGTGCCCTGTTGTCGACTCGCAGCTTGAATGGCTCGCTGCCTAGGTATGCTCTGTATTTCTCGACAAAGGTAACCGCCGCGAACAACTCTGCTTTCGGTGCCCCGTACTTCATTTCCGTGTCACTTAAGACTTTGCTCCCGTACGCTATTGGTCTCAAGACTGTTTTCCCGTTCCACTCTTGTTCCTGATGGAGAATTCCAGAAATCGCTACTACCGACGCATCCGTATCCAGCACGTACATTCCTTTCTCTGTCGGCGTCCCTAGTACTGGTGCCTCGCACAACTCTTTCTTTATTCTCTGGAATGACTCTTCTGCTGCATTGTTCCACGTGAACTTCTTATCCTTGTGCCTCATTAACTGTTGCATCGGGTAAACCTTGTCTGCATAGCCTTTGATGAATTCTCTGTAGTAATTTGCAAAACCCAGGAAGCTCATCAATTGGTGTTCCGTTTTTGGCGACTTCCAAGTTAGAACTGCTTCTACTGCGTCTGGATCTAGTCTGATGCCGTGTCTGTCCACCATCCTGCCCAAGTATTTTCTCGAGTCCCTGAGTATCTCGCACTTTGATGGTTTGCACTTTAGCCCCGACCTCTTCATACACGCGAACACCTCGTCAAGTCTCTCAATGTGGTCTTCCAGTGTGGTTGTCGCTATTACTTCGTCATCCACATAGCACATTACCAGATTGCCATACGTCTTCGTCACACCCCTACCAGCGCGTGTGCCATCAACCGCTGAAATGTGGCAGTGGCATTGCAAAGACCAAACGGCATCCGTTTCCATTGAAACAGACCCAACTCGCAGGCAAACCCTGTCTTGTCCCTGTCCTGCTTCCTGAGTGGTACCTGCCAGAAGGCCGAACCTACACCAAGAGATGTAAAAAATTTTGCTTCACCTAACTTCGAGAGGCTCTCATCAATCCTAGGTATGGGATAGGCATCCTTCACCGTGACGGAGTTCAGGTATCGAAAGTCACAACAAAACCTCAATTGGTCACCTTTTTTTTGGCCATCACTACTCCACACGCCCACGGTGATTTGGATGGTTCTATCATATTATACTTTAGTAGCGTTTCGATCTCTTTTCTACACGCATCCGATTTGTGTGGGGTCATGCGCCTCGCCCCCTCCCTGTGCGGTATTGCGTTCTCCTCAAGTTCTATTTCATGCTCAACAAAATCACAACACCCAATATCTGCCTTATGTCTCGAAAAAACTTCCTCGTTCCGCTCTATTACGTCCTTGATGGCTTCGAGCTGTTCGTCCGTTATTTTGCCTCTTAAACGTTCAATTTCCGGTAGGACCGGTTTATCACTCTGCATTTCATCTAGTGTGGGACGTTCCGGGAAATTCGAACTGCTCGATAGTCCATTGTCTGTCTCTGACTTAAGTGACTTCACAAGACCTGATGAACCTTTTATTTTCTTCAATCGTCTCAAGTTACAAATTTTGTCCCTATGATTGGGACAATCAACAACTTCATTTTGTTTTTGGTTTTCAGTCATTTCATATCGATTTTTACGGGTAGAGCATATCCCAGCTTCCTCCCCCTCTGTATCGTGATTGGTATGTCAAGAGTATTCAACAAGACACTGACGCAGAGACCGCTCTTCGTTATCGAGAAGGATCTTCCTAAAACAGCAGCACTTTGACTATTTGGATTTGGGACAATGCATACCTGCTTGTTGTCACTTAATTCATTGTAGTTTTTCATTCGTAAGCTTACGATCGCCGCTTCGTTCGCCTTTAGCCTCACTCTCCTACTCAAGAATACCGATGCTTTGTTCTCATTTGCCATTATTAAATTTACCGGTTTAATTGCGTACCTCCTATCCGGGTTCCGTATCCTGAACATTGCGTTGTTTAGATCAATCGTTACATCAAAGTTCCTGATGAAGTCTCTGCCTAAAATGAATTGGTCAGACTCATCTAGGTTTTCTAACACAAGAAAGCTCATCCACAGGTTGCGTTCCCCCAGATTTAGGGCTATTATCGGCGTTCTGTCCAACACCCGCAGCGCCCCTTTGTTTGCCGCTGACAACCGTATTCTTGAGTCTATCAAATCATTTTTGTTGAAGCCCATTCGTTCCCAAGTTTCGATTGGTATGACACTGAAGACCGCTCCCGTATCAAGTAACCCACGTAGCTGAGTCTTCTTGCCACTTATGTCGAGCACATGTGCTGACACATCTGCCTCTTCCCGATGTGCATTGCATCTTCCTCGAGCATGGCGCAGTGTCCAATCGATCTCACTTTCAACTCTTCTTTTCCCACGTAGATTTGCCCTATTAGATCTTCATCACATGTTATCATTGTTTTCGTATAGATATTGATCCAATCTATATTTAGCATCACCTCATGCGGACCATAAGCCTCCGTGTACCTGTTATCAACTCGGACTGACTTGCTACCCCCTCTCGTGAGTAGTGCCCTCAATGCTCTAGAAGTCGTTTGTGGGCTTATACCACTCAAGTAATCTGCGTACACATCAATGTGCATTATTGTCTGGTCATTTGGTTCGCTCAAGTTTCTCGTTACCTCATGGCCGCCCACGGTGATTATTGACATTATTCTTGCCCCGATCTTTGTTATACAGAATGACTTCCCCGTCACCATCTTTACAGTGTTGCAGTTTCCATTTTTTGTCGACCCCACTACAGCCTCTGGTATTGGCTGCGAGCAACCTAATGCCTCGTTCATTTTCTGTCTTTCGATCTCTTGCTTCAGTCGTTGTTCTATTTCTTTCGCCGCTAGGTCCGGTTTCACTTTATTGATAGCTTCCGCCGCCGCCTTCTCATAATTTATCTCTAGGGCGTTTCTGGCCGTGGCCTTTATTGCACTATTAACTTGCGTTACAGCTTTCACTGTTTTCTTAAGCAGTTCCGCACTTGGTGTTTCTACGTTTTTTGTTTCAAATTCACCTTGTCTATTTCTCTGGTTCTGTACCGCTGCTAACGCCAACTTGTGTTTTGGATGACTCTGGTTCTTGACTGCCTCCCAGAACAACAGACAGTCCATCCTGAAGTGCCCCTCTTGGTTGCAGAAGAAGCATCTTGCACCTATTTTGATGATCAAGCCACTATGGAACTCGTGTTCCTCCATCTGGCTCATATCTTCCTCATCGGGTGCATATCCCAAACTCTTCATGCCCTGCTTGTATGTTGTGCAATCCGCCACATGATGGTCAGCTGACCCGCAGTTCGCGCATGATCTACGTTTCCATGTCATCTCTGGGCTTGTACCACGATGACCTTTGTGGTTGATTCCCCCCTTGCGTATTCCTGTTATCTGAGTAGGAGTATTTCTTGGGTTTCATTAGCATGTACTCTCTTGACTTTTGCCTCATCTCTTCTGGAGTTGGTGCACTGTCTTTCGACAATGTGTAGTATGTTGCTAACATTGTTATCAAGTCATCACTCTTTACCCCATCAATGAACTTTCAGGCGATGCTGAAGTTTCTTCTATTGGTGGATTCTTCTGGGTCACTCCTTCGTCTTAAGCTCTCTAGATCATCTAGGAACCTGTCTATCGATTCATCGTCCCTTTACCTTCTCTTTTCAAATCGCATCATCGCTTGATGACCCTTCATGCCTGACCCGAATCGATTTAACAATATCTCGAAGATTTTATCCGCTGTGTCGCGTTCCTCTTCCTTTTTCGCAACCACGCATTTCAATGCAGTGCCTTCCAAGTTGCTGAGTATCGCTGTGCATGCTTGCCTCTCATCGTTTAAATTGTCTTGTTCCAAGTGCAACCTCATGACTTCTACCCAAGTGTCAATGCATCCGTCTGAATCATCCTTGAATTCTTTCGGTTTTTTGAAAGTTTTCCTGGATTTGTTGTTTCCTATGTTACTCGAGTCGGTGTTCCTTGTGGCGAAGGCTTCTAGTGTCCTGTTCATCATTTCCCAGGTGCTTGCTCATGTCATGACATCCGGTCCCACGTTGTTGTGAGTCGTGGAGTCTCCTGGACCACTGGTTGTGTTCGCTGTTCCACTTTTCATGATCGCTTTGGCCCCCCCGGTGCTGTACTCGCAGCATCCCGGGGTAATGGTAACGGTGTTGACTGCCGTTTGTTCCGTTGTGGTTCCACGAAGTCAACTCTATTGCCTGACGTTCGCTCCGCTGATGGCCTGTCTTTTGGCGTTGAGTTCCTACTTTGCCTGTATTGCACATGAACTCTCAGCCTGGTCCCTACTCATTGTATCCATTCTCGTTTCCAAACTCCCCAACTGGCTATTCACTGCGTCATATCGTTGCTTCATTTCTTGCATGTCTTTTCTGATGTTCTTGTCTCGCTCTTCATCAGTGGTATCTACCTTGTCCGACATCTGCTGAAGCCTTTCCTCTGTCGCTCTCGCTAGATTGAAGTAGCTGTCCAGGTACTCATGTTTGTTATCTCTTATTTACCTCCTTATCACATCTCTATCCTCTTCGCTGTGCTTCAGTTTCTTGTCTATTTGATCTAGCTTCGCCATCAAATCACCTAACTCAAGAGTAGCTGTTCCATGGTCAGTTGTTGTCCTGTTGTCGGTTGCTGTTCCCGGTCTGATCTGATCTTCGTTTTGGTCGGTGTCTGTCGTTCTCGTGGAAACTGTTCCGAATGTTTTGCCTTTCTCGGCTTTCGTCTCTTCCACTACTGCGTCTCTCGACTTCATTCCGACCATTATCGCCAATCTTTCAGTAAAAGACGTTCTTTTTGCTTGAGACTTGTCCTTCACCGTTTCTGGCGTGTTGCCTGTTGTATCTTCCACATTGTCTATCGGTGAGAGCCCCATGGACTTTGGATTAGGTTCTTCCGCATGCGGCATCGGATTTGACTCTGTCGTCTTCTTTCCCACCTCATCCACACTTTGGTCTGGTGTCTCTAGTTCAATCTCAATGGTGGGTTCTGCTTGTTTCTTTTCCGTGCCCTCTTTTGCTCTGTTCTCTGTATTACTCCTCGTATATCTTAGACCATTCAGTAGATCTTTTTTCAGCCAGCGGTACCCTGCTCCGCCTCATTATTTTTATTTACAATTGTTCCTATTTACAGTATTACTATCTACAACATTCTACTCTGAGGTTAAAACCTCTTTTGACAAAATTGATAAAAAGAAAACTATAATTTAATAAAAACAACGTTTCCTAAGCTTTTTGAAAAATCTATATGTTCTTAATCCCAACAGTACCGGATCTTTATGACTGGTTAGAGAATTTAGTTTTGCGATTGGTTACTTCAACCTGTCTTAGTACTCCTTAGTACCGTCACCCCCCTTCTTTATACTGCTCCTAGACTTCCTATCTACTGTCCCAAGACTATTCAGTTCTGTCCCAGTACTTCTTGTTAGTGTCCCCAGACCCTTGCCCTAAGGCGACTGTCCCAAGACCACTGTCCCAAGACTACTGTCCCAAGACCCTTGCCCTGAGACTACTGTCCCAAGACTGCTGTCCCAAGACTACTGTCCCAAGACCAGTGTCTCAAGACCCTTGCCCTAAGACTACTGTCCCAAGACTACTGTCGCAAGACTACTGTCCCAAGACTACTGTCCCAAGACCACTGTCCCAAGACTACTGTCCCAAGACGACTGTCTCAAGACTACTGTCCCAAGACCGCTGTCCCAAGACCAGTGTCCCAAGACCACTGTCCCAAGACCACTGTCCCAAGACTACTGTCCCAAGACCAGTGTCTCAAGACCCT